ATTAGATTCTAATAATGTTTACAAAGACAGAAATGCCCTTACTTAAGTGTGGGGCAGAGTAACTCTAATAACACTGCCACATAAGCAAGTTACTTAATAAAYAGAAGAAGACTAAACTACCCCTATTCGGCACATCTTAACAGTTACCTTATTCATGACCTTAGATTTAGTTTTATTGATGTATTTTTGAGATTTGTAAGAATTTCCCTAATGTATCCATGTGGATCCATATCTTTCCATCATATCCATGTGTATCTGTATTTATATCCATATCCAAGCTTCCCTTATGATACATGATGCCGATACTTTGAACCTTGTCTTAAGTCAAGAGCAAATACCTAGACCTAGACCCTTAGGGGTCTATAAGCAATAGACCCAGAAACAACCCTATGATTAATCAGGCTTTTCTGGTCTGACCCGATTATAAGTAACAAGCCTTTAGCTTGGTAATTTGACAATTATACTGCTAATTGTCTTGTTCTCTCTTCTCAAAATATCTTATCCCTTATAAAATGACAATTTTATACCATATATGAAATTATTAAAGGTAAACCATGAGAGCCATGTATGAAATGTTGAGAAGTATATTTATCATGTGCTATTATGCATATGTATTTACCTAATCAGTTCAGTTCTTAATCAGGTCAGAACTAGTATCCCTAATCTAGACCCTAATAAAGTTGGGACTCAAAATGCGGACCCAAAATCATGTAATACAGTTGAGAGTAGGAAAATGTCCAGAAGAGGAATCTTATTGCACATGTAATAGACAACCTGAGTAATGTTATCAAATAAATTATTCTGTGTTACAAACCTGAGTAAAGTTATCAAATATAAGTTTGGGAAACTAAAAAGATCTACTTTCAGGAAAAATGCAAAGAAAAAAAGAAAAAAAAAGAATATACAAGAAAATTGAATCATAATAATCAACACTTAGCTGAAATAAGGCGAAGAGAATGGAATAGTGAAGAATTCATCTATTTTTGACAAGGTAACTTGGTTCATCTTGTCATTAAGAGGTTGCCTCCTTATTCATTGATCAAATGTCCTAATGATTCATTTTTATCCCAGTACGATATGAATGCTGACAATGTAATATCAAATAAGGACATGATGCATGCCAAAGATACAGATTACCTTATTGGCCCCAAGGGTAGATATTTTGCTCTTGGTACGTAACAAAACAATGAAACTTGATCAAGAAGTTTCTCATGGGTCTCATATAATTTCTTAAGCTCCTCATCTGACCACTCCTTTTTTGCATTATCATGATTCCGTATTTCTCTAAATATTCAACATATAAAACACATATCAGGGCCAAACCATGATGAACCTAGTCAAGGTCAAATCATCAGAGAGTAAAACCAAACACCAACATCGAATGTTGTTAGATGTCTCTTACTTGATGAGGTCATCTTGTCCCATGTACATTTCATCAAGAACCTTCAACATGGGACTTATCAAGGATCCAAGGCCAGTACCACTAGCCCCTTGATCTTCTCCATTACTAAGATGCATATCTGAGAATTGAGACTGCACTCCACCTAATGATAAAGCATGTAAGAATTCATAAATCTGTAGCCTAAAAGGCTCACCAGACCTGATTGCCATGGTTATTAAAGCTTGAGCAGCAATAATGCGAACCTGGAGCAGCCAACCACACAATAGAAGAAAAAACTGTTACATAGCAGCACCTATAACATTCACTACAAAGAAAGTGAAAAATTCTAATCCAATAAAAATAAAACAAAATAAAACCTTTCCACCATGTAGATAATCAACAACCTTGCAAGTTCATTTGCAATTCTAATTGATTAAATTCAAAAATAACAAGTTGTTGCTGTTCTGGTTTACAACTGAACTAAACAGAGTGGAATAGTGGAAACGGATTCATGTAGCTGACCCCCTATAGTTGGGGAAAAGCTTAGTTGAGTTGAGTTTAGTGAAGAAAAACTAGAGAGGGTTTTGTTCTGGTATTTCTTTTCAAAAAGAGATGTAAAAGGGTTTTACTGAAATAGATACCTCCCAGCTCCCACTAAAAGCACACCTCTGGAGCCGAGTTAATGCACCTGCTAAGGTGGGATTCCGAGAACTAGCAGCAGCCACCATTTTGTCTGCATCTAACATCATTAATGCAGTACCAGGAGGGGTTGCAGATTCCCAAGCATATTCAGATGCAGCATAATTTGCATTTTCTCCAAGGAACCATACCTACACATGTGATCAATCAAAGATCAAAACTGAAAATGAAAATAACGATAATAATAATAATTGCATTGCCTCTTGGAGAATATAATGTCACAGATATAGCCAAAGTTGTTTCAACATCATATACAAGATGCTAGAGATTCAATTAACTAAATCATAAAGAAAAATATTACACTTACCGCTGCTTGCACTAATCTCTGTAATGCCAGAGCTGATTTTGGATCAGATGCAGATACACCATCTACGGAAGTAAGTCCTGACATTGAACCAGGCTGCGGTGGTGGCAAATCAAGAACTATTGTGACTGCTTCCAAAGCTGTATGCTTGCCACCTGGCCCAGCCCCAACAAGGCATGTCTGGAAAGGTACATGGATGAGATTCATGTGAACCAAAAATTAATACATGCTACACTATCATCAACAGGTTACAAATATTGCATCATTATCAAAAGGTAGTCCAGGTATAAAAGTTAATTCCATGTGTTCTCTTAGTGACAATAGTATAAGCAACTTCCAAGTTGATCATTTATGTAAAAAAAATAAATTAATTAAAAATATCAGAAAGGAAAAGTCACCTTAAAGATTAAAAAAGTGCAGTTAAATCATCAGCCATGAGACACCTAGGAGATTGACTTGCTCAGCCAGGATTGCAACAGAGTGCACCATAGTCTAAGCCCTAGTATAAACCTGCAAAAAGCTAGCCTATCGCAGTGCAACCCTTTTTCCTAGCCTAGCTAAGTCACTGCCTTACCTATTTGGCATCAGCGAATCATGTCAAAAGAGCCTTAAAATGCACACTCCAAAATTAATCTGATTTTTGAGTTGTTTATTGTTCATTAAAAAAAAATTAAGACAACCACCTTCCTTTGATCTCAGTAAAGAATGTAATGTTGAAGATCTGTTTTGGAGATCTTAGACTTATTCAGAAGTTGTTCTAATAAATGACACTTAATTATGCATTCTTTTCAAGATTTAATTCTGGCTGTCAAAATAATGTTAAAGGATTGGTTATTAGTTAAATATGATTTCTAATGTTATTTTAATTATTGCTAATGGAACACTGTATTATGTAAATGTTAGTTAGGTTTTAGTATCCTGCAATTTTAATAAATAGATATTGCAACTCCACTCTATTAACAGCTGTTAGAGTTGGTCGAGTAAGGGTAACTTAGTCTTTTCATTATAGTTTAAGTAGTGTAGTGATGTGGCAATTCTGTTTTGTTTTTTATTTTTCTTGTCCCATACTTAAGTAGGGGTATATTTGACTTTGTACCCTTTTTTGAATATAATAGAGATTATGGTCAACTAGGAGGGTTAAGACTCTCTAGTTCGACAACTTTCTTCCTTCTTCTTCTTTCTCTTTCTCTTTGAACATGACTTATCTGTACCATTAAAACATGGTATCAGAGCCCTAAATAAAAGAGAGGAAGGCTGCAATCTCAAGTTCCTGGACCTGCAATCTCTTCTCTTCTTCTTTTCTCCTTTTCTCTGAGGCACGATCTCAGTTACACAGGTCGAAAGATGCAGCAACCCTTTTTTGGTGATCCAGGACTGCCGCAATCCCCATTACAGGTGTTAGGAAGGTGC